ATATATATATATATATATTCTAATATAGTATCTTTAAAATAATAAGTAAACAGCAGAGCTCTGTAATCTGTGTCTGTGTTCTTGTATTATGTTTTTAGTCTCTCCTTATCTCAAACTGCACCAGACAAAGACACTTGTGGACAAAATGAAAAGTATTATATGCACGAGGTTTTACATGCACTCATCTGGAAGAAAAAGGATTTAACTATTAGAAACTGGTTCCTCTGCTCAACCACAATTTTGTTTGAGAGGCTAAAGCTATTTTTGTTCTGTGAATTGAAAGAAGCAGACAACAAGATTAATAGCTGTTGGCACCGTAAATTATTTTAAATATACACCTGTCCAAATAGAGCTGTGAACTCTGTTCCAGACCACCACCCCCACCCAAACATAGCAAAACAAAACGCTGTCACACCTTTTTCTCTGGAAGCTCAGGTAACATGTGGTCAGAGTAAACCTGAAAATCATTTTAACCTTTGTGGAACACACCCATACTGCTGACATGCATGACTGAGTACTTTTACATGGCACTATTCAGTGGAACCAACCTTTTCATGTATACAGATTTCAGACCTAAATGCCAAATAAGCTTTACCATATTGTTAAAGAGCCTTTAATCAGCCCTCACCCCGATTTGTCTTTAAACTTCAACCTTTCTTCAAAACAATCCTGTTTGGTATTCTTTATTGTGGATTTTACAAAAAAATAATTTATGGAATATCAGCTAAATTATTCCTTAAACTGCGAGGTCCGATTCTGGGATATATTTGGAATTTCAAAGGGAAAGTTTTATCGGGAAGTTTTGCATTGGAAACACTACTCATGTGTAATGTAAAAGTCTTATCATAACCTTTCACCAGCATGAAGGAATTTGAAGACGCGTACCTGAGACGAGACAAGAGAAAATCAGTGACAGTGACTCAAACCTGCATCAAACATCCAATGCAGCCTTGAGCTAACAGTGTGTGTGGGTATGAATCTGAACTAAATAACAAGTGAAAGGAGCAGTTTGTCAAGAGCAGGTGGTGTCTGTGGACATTATCAGATTTTACTGATGGGTGTGTGTCCCTTTAGTCTGCAGAGAACAAAAATGAAATATTTAGACCAGTAATAATCTGTCTAGCAGTGTATTAGAAGATATTAGACTGAGGTTGGATAAAGGTCACATATGCCCTTCTATCAACTTGCAGGCTCGTGTTCTGTATGTATTACAAATTAGTTATAATACCCCGAGGCAGTTTGTAGTTTGTAGATTCATGAAGTACATATACTGCTCTCCATTGTGCTGTTATCACTTTTATTGCATAAATCAAAGTAGCAGACAATCATTCACAGCGGACAGACCACACTTTCAGTGCCTGGAAGAAAAATATATGAAGGCTGAGTTTCTACAAGCAGTTAAACATCACACGTTATCAGGGGACGCTGGATTCAGAGTAACTGGGACACTTGAAAAAAAAAAATCTATACAGTACTGTATGTAAACAGAGCTAATGTTATCCAAGCAAGTATGACTTTTGCTAAAAGGGTGGTGTGTACGTCATGTGGAAAGTACAGGCTGCAGCATGACAGTAATAAATTATGCACATTTTATATTTTATGTATCACCGTTTAACTTCACTTTTTAAACACATGTCAAGAAAACGTTTCACAGAAATGTTTACAGCCTGAACATTATGAAGGACATCTGTGTAACTTCTATGTAACTTTCTACTTTTTTTTCTTTAAAGATGCAGGTAAATACATTAAATCCAAGTATGAATGAATGTGATGTGTTTTGCTTTATAATTGGGGGTAATTTCAACGATGATTCTTATTCATTAAGTTATTTTAGGTATCTTGTTTTCCCTTGCTTTACTTTCACTTACATAGTTCATGCTAATAGAAATAAATAGCTGTGAATGTGATTGCGAATGGTTGTCTGCCTCTATGTCTTAGCCCTGCCTCAGGCTGATGACCCGTTCAGGGTGTATCATGACTCTTGACTCCATGGTAGCTGGAATAGGCTCCAGCCCCTCAGCGATTTTTTTAAGGATAAACAGAAGAGAATGGATGAAAAGATATGAAGGGTAGCAATGTAAACAACATATAATGTGCAAATTGGAAGACTTGTATAGTATTCTCAATAAATACTACCAGTTAAAAAAAAACTGAAAGAAATGGTACGTTGTTTAAATATACGTTTCTGTACAGGTACAGGAAACCTGTGTTTCCTCCCTCCCTAAAGTTATTGTTACATCAGATTTGTATTGTTTTGAATGGTTTCTAAGGGAATATTGGATTTTCAGTGTAAACACATCGAGTTGTTTTATTGTTATTGCAGTGCAAAAAAGGTCTTAAGTGACAAATATAACGATGTGTTTCTCCATGTAAACTTGTATAATTTCCTTTGCGCACATCCTTTTTCCAATGTATCCATCTCTTAATCAAACGCTCTGTGGTGAACACCATTATCAGTATTTGATTGAAAGCCATTATGCTGACACCAAACTTGGGTATAAAAGAGACAACCTGCTGGGAATCAGCAGTTGTGCACTGGAGACATCACGCTCATCGCACTTTGTTGTGTACATATCTCATCCTATCTTCACAGGTACAGTAAGTTTGCCATTTTTGATACCTAATTTGTTTTTTAGAATACATCTCATGTTTACTCAAATGTTTCTTTCTTACTGCGCAGAGAGAATGTCAGGGAAAGTTTTCGTGGTATTTGCGCTGCTGGTTGCTCTGCTTGTGTCTGGAGCAGCTTCCACAACTGAAACCGGAGAGACTGAGGAGACAAATGTTCTCAAGCAGCTTCTAACTAAACACGAGATGGCAAAAGACTCGGCTGGAAGACAGAGGCAAGCACCCCGCACTCACTCTGCACGGCTGGAACGACGGGCGCACCTTTCAGTTGATGAGCGCGAGATAATGACCAAACAAATAATGCAAGCAATTTCAGGTATGCTGCAGGCTTGGGTTGGAAAGCTCTGCGATTGTCATCTTGTTTCACTTCAGCTTATTAGAGCAATGTTTGAATAGGCGGAGGTCCAAGACGATGCTCAGATTTGCATACTGAACCCTTTTGTGTGTGGTTCATGTACTGTAGGAATGGTTTGTTCACAGAGCTGATGAACTCCGAGTGCATGACGGATCGGGACTACCAGGGCTGGGTGGATTTTGGCCGCCGGGACACAGAATGAGGCACATCACAACAGCTGGAGAGCTGGCGCACTGCTTTTTTGTTCAGATTTTATAAAAAAGTGGACGTTTACTTCCCATGCAACTTTCGAAATAAACAGTTTTGCAGATTTATTGCACTTGTTTTTATTCCATATCTTTGGTGATGAGTGGACGAAGAGTCAAAAGTGAACTTGGTGGAAATGAAAACATTTATTCACAGGTGGTACAGTTTACGCACACACTGACATGTAGAGTTACAGCAAACAACAGCGCACAGAAACAGTCGTTTGGTTAATTTACGTAGAAACACAAATCTCTGTTTATGAATTCTTCCCTTTTAAATCCACATTATCATGTGGCTTTTTCGCCAGAGCTGATTGATCAACCAGAGTGATGCTGTTTAAATTATCATGATAACTCTTGTACTTATTAAATATTACTTATAGCACCTACTGTCACAGATATCACTCTGAAATGCCCAGCGTGATTTCGGTTAAATTTAAATCCCAGTGGTTTAAAAATTCCCGATGACACGATTTATACAGCAGATTTCTACAAACAAAACTTTGAGTCACTGCAGTCAACATGTTGCTTCACCGTCTTCCATGCAGCATGCAAATCCAATTTGGTTGTGGTGAGGTTTGGCTCAGAATAAAGTCCATAAAGGCGTAACTTTAAACAGCTTAGAGGTGAAATGGAACTGTGCATGTGAGAGCAAGTAATGGACTGCAAGGCAGACTGCTCAGTATTATTAACATTACTCAGTTCAGTCACTGGATCGTCAGGCTTCTTCTCAGTGCTTCTTTCTAAGTATAATTTGACAAACTTATATACTATATGCTTTTGTCAACATAGCAGCGAATAAGCAGGAAGACCAGACTGTGTTTTAGTGCATTTTCAGGGACAGCATTGGTTTGTTTGTGGTTTCTTAACTCTCAATAATTTACAGCACATCATCTTTTTTCATTTCCCTAAATGACAGTTATTATTTACACATAGCTCATGTTTCTCTTTGGAAACTAATAAAATGACGAGTGAGGAGGTTTTTTTAAAACCAGTGATTGGGGGTGGGGCAAATTGTAAAAGGAAAGTCAAAACACAAAAGTATAAAATATTTCTTTTCTTCATCATTTTCCTTTTTTTGCGTAAAAAGAAGCAAAGTGTGAATCAAACACAGCAGTGATCAGGTGGTTTTCCTGAGATGAAAATGTCCCACATGTAAAGAATAATTTACCGTGCACAAGTTCATAGAAAAACATTGTACTGCACACTACCAATAACTGAAAGTATGGCTCTAACACATTCTGTGGCTTTTCTTTTCAAGACACGGGTGCTGTGGTGGGCACTGAAGTGCACAGTAGGAATCGCATGGCTTTATGCAAAGTCACTATGGTGAATGAGAGAGGAGTGTGGAGGTGAATGCATCACACTTTCGGAGGAGGTCTGACTGCTTCCCTGTCTTTGTCACTGAGGCCCCTCATCCCCCAGGCTGCCACTCTGTGCAACCCAAGACTCTGAAGCTTCTCCACCAAGTTCCAGCTAAAAATGTTCCTTCGTCCTTCTTTGTGTGAGAAAAAGTCTCCTCTTTTGTCTGATACTGTAGAAAATGAAGGTTTTCCAGTGCGGTTGTAGTGCAGGTTGTGGTGGGGATGACGGGAGGCTGAGATGCCGCGCTCTTGCAGCAGTTGCAGGAGTCCCAGTGATGAAGTGCTAAGCTCTGTGGTGGCTGTCTGGCCTCCTTGGCCAAAGTGCTGCTGCAAGGCTGGTGAAGTGCTCACGTGCTCACGGTCCCGAGAAGGTGGCAGGCCGAAAGAGTGAAGGCTATTACAAAAACGAAACAAACAAAATATTAAAAACAAATGACATAACATCTCCTCTACAAGCACATGCATATTCATATAAACTGACTGGGGAAAAAAAGACAATGTGAGACGTTTTGGTTAGTTTAGCACATCAACACTAAAAAGTGGAGAAAACATGATGTTAATATTCCAGTGATGAGGAAAACAGATCTGGTGTGGAAGAAAGTGGAAGAGATGGTAAAAAAATATATAATAAAAAACTCAGTAGGGAGCAAAAACAAGTAAGAGCAGATGTTACAACGTTAGGCACAGCGTTAGTAGAAGATAACATGCATAACGGAAGTAGGACTCATGGCGTATCAAGTAACATTTACGGACCTCCCACAACATCCTACTTAGCATCTAAAAGCAGTGAACCAACTTTTTAAAGTGTTTTACCGTGGAAGGCAATGCAGTACATTAGATTTAGGTAGATCTATGTTTTATAAATATATTAAAATGTTTACACAGTAAACTCTTTTCTAGACTTCACTCATCACTCATTTCATGCACAGAGTGAGGACTGGAAGTGCTGCAGATCATGCCTCTGTTGTTAATATTACAGACACTAATCAAGCATTCAGAGTCCATTTATAACACCAGGCTCTTACTTTTCCCTGGTGGCTCCTTCTAGAGTTGGAGAAAGAGCCTTGACAGACGTTTTCTACCATTGAGAGGGTAAAGAATGGAAGTTAGGAAAGACAGAGCAACTGCAATCGGTAATATCTATACCTGTTTAGAGTGGACCTATTTTCAGCTCCATAATTTTATTCTTGGAGTCTAAATTAGTAGCCTCGTGGAAGTAATTCATTCAAGTCATCTTCTGTATAAAATGAGCCATTTTAGTGTTGGTGCCTTTAAAGCCACCTTTCCTATAAGACAGCTTACTTCTGATTGGCTGTCCCTTGCAAACAGAATACTTAAAAAGCAGTTTAAGTCCCATGTGCCTGGGATGGCCATAGTGTTCTTCTCTGACATCATAAAGAGCATACATAGTGACCTCATTATGTCAAACTTTGCCCATATTTAGTATTGCTGAACACAATTTCACAAAATAAAGAAAACAAACAATTTAGGCCCACTTTAATGAAACTGACACTGGAAAAAAAAGTTTTGGTTAGTAAATCTAGTTTAAAAGGTTCATAAAAATCCAACTAACACTGCCTTAAGAGTATTTACCTTGGCCAGAGCTGTGAAAAAACACAATGAGCAAAGACGAAATAACCCCAAAACAGTATGTTCTTACCTAGTGGAGAAGGAGGGGATGATTAGGGAGGGTTGGAGGACTTGGCAGGTGGTGATGGGATGTGTGGGAGGGGTCTGAGGGAGGTTGGGACCCGATGAAGAGACTGTGAGGTCATGGAGTGGATAAAGGTAGGTTAAACTACAGCTGTAGGAAAGGACACACATCTAAAGAGTCACTAAAAGACTGAATGAAGATGAACCCTGCACTAATTTTGCAAGGAATGGGAGCTATCCTCTATAATGAGAAGATATGCACTTCAGTAAATATGTAATCTGGAATTGAGTAGAAATGAGAGAACTAGTTGACTTGTGTGTAGTGTGCCAATGTGTCGTACCCATGCCGTGAGCTCCAGAGAGGTGTGACAGGTCTGGCTCATCCTCCTCTAGGTCGTTCAAGCTGTAGACGTGCTGTATGTCAACCTCGAGCTCCCTGAAGTCTTTAGTTAGGACTCCCGGGCGTGGATGCAGGATACCTCCCAGGTTTGGTTTGGCCAGCTGCTGCCACTGGTGCAGAGTCACTGAGCCTGAAGAGTAGAGATTCAGAAGGTGTTGCCACTGAAGTGTGTGGTAATACAATATAGATGCATTACAAATACTGCTCTCTGAGCAGGGCAGCTTTTCATCCGTGGGATTTACTACAGAGACTAAGGTGAAGAAGCTCATCATTTTCTGACTTGTTTTACTTTCTTATGCTTCATCAAGACTGCACAAATGCTGAAACAGGTTTGAAGACATGATTAGAGAAACATAAAGCTAAAAATTTTACCTTCCAGAGGTTTGACAATCTGCAGACGGTCAGGTAGGTAGGACCTGGATCCTCCCGAGGAGCCACAGGAGTGTCGGGAGCTACCGTTGGAGTAGTTGGTGCCTGTTGAAGCAGCTGGGCTGGAGGCCAGGCTGTAATTTGGCGTCAGGAAGCCACTAGAGCCCTCGCCTTCCTCGCTGTCTGCTGCCAAGGCACGGAGTTTACGTTCGCGCTCCACATCGAAGAAAGGTCGGTCAGAAGAGTGGTTCTGCTGGCGGACTGAGAGTCTGCACAAGGCAGCTTCGAGATCCTGGCCTCCTGGTGTGCCTGGTTGACCTAAACGTTTTGGCCCACTAACGCTAAAAAGGAAAAATTAACAACATTATTTTAAAGTCAACATCCTACAGCTTCAAACTGTATCCCAAAATGTAAAATCTGTGTCAAATCTTTAGGCATTACTGTGGCATCTGATGTGCAGTCTTACCTGCTGTCTTCCTTCTGAGCATGATTGGAGCTCGGCTTGTCTTCCAAGTTCAGGCTGGCATTATCGGAGCCATAGTAGCTGGTCCGAGGGGTGCTGTTAGAGCTGGAAGGTGCAGACACCGGGCTGGAGCCTGGCACACCTGGTGAGTGGCATTGAGACCGCTGCCTTACAGCCTTGTTCACCACTTTCACGGTTTCAAAAACACGCCAGGGGTGGTTCCTGCCAGAGGAAACAGCAAAAGTAATGACATGAGTGTCTCTCTTACACATTCACACTCCTCCAAAAAAAATATTTATTCAGAATTGAAACTCATCAAAATTTTACACAAGCTACAGGAGGGGAATTGTATAATTGCCATTCATTTACAAGCAACAAAGAAAACCCTTCAAACTTGAACTTAAAAGATTCTCCTCTGTTTGGAGACTCTTTTAACAAAAGAAACTACCAGGTAACAGTACCAGTATGGTACTGATAAGCAAAAGGGGTCAGTGTTGGGTTATACCAAGGTGTCATGCTGTGTCAGTTAAAATTTAGCTGTAACAGTTTTAAGTGTAACCTACAATACTTTTAGACTATTTTAGTCTTTTAGTCTATTAGCTTAACAGGCCTGCTGGCAAAGTGAATCCCTCGCTCTGTGGATCTTAGGCTGATGCAAAGAGTGAGGCAAGTCTGAGATTCTGTTTTTTCAAATAAAATGCGTTATTATATATCAGTGACGTATCTTTCAAATAGTATATGACATATTATTATATGCTGTTAGAAGTTGAATAAATAAATGGTCAAATTTGTAATTGATTTTCACTTCAATTTGCATTTCAAATTCTGGTTCACTTTGTTTAACATTTTGGTCGATGATGTTCTTGTTCTTTGTAGTACATTGTCTCCTAAAACAAAAGAATTACCCAAATACGGGAAATGCATCCATACAAGAAATTAAATCAACAAACTACAGATTGCTTTGAATGCAAAATGCCATAAAAAAGATGCACAGAGCGAGAGACAGATGAAGGAGAAGAAAAGGCAAGAATAGATGTGCGTTTCCTTTTTCATTTCTACGGATCATTTTTAATGGGGGAAAAGTCACTGTCTCCACTATTAATTTGTTCAGAATTTCACAGACTGATTAAAACATATTTGTAATGTTCTTCTTCTTTGTTTATACAAGAGAATTCAAAACAATAAAAATTATACTAGTTTGTAATCAACTACTGGCCCACTCCATCTTCCTGACACCATCTAACACCTTATAAAATCATTAATTATCAAATACAAAACTAACATTAAGCATTTATTTAGCTAAATCATGGATGGATGTCAAGTAGCTTCATTACACACAACTGACATTGATGTAGTTCTTTTAACAGAAAACATTACGTACAAACAAAACGTAAGTCAAGTAAAACTTGTTAATCCCTGAAATCCAAATTGTACAAATTTAATCTAAAAAATTACCACAACAACATATAAACATGTAACATACTAAACCTTACTAGTAATTATTTTCAAACATGCATCAACTCAGTCAGTACTATTGTACCTGCTGTTTTTTTTCCTCTGTAAGGAATGTGTCTAATAAAAGCTGAGCTGCTATAAAAGTAATAAAAGTAAAAGCCACTTGACGAAGGCGTTTAAGTTTAAGGTGTGATAGGGCAGGGAGTGGAACTACCACAGAATTTAAGTACTTAAGGTATAAAGGTAGTTTCCCAAAGCTGAACTGGTTTAACCTTAGTTATCTCTGTAGTTCTAGAAAATAATTCTTATGAAAACAGGAACATGAAACTACAACTGCTACTCAATATTCACGGTACAATCTGGTCAATTTAGACCAGACAAAGTGGATAAGGATTTTTTTTAGATGTGCATATAAGCCAAACAGACACAGGTCACAGACTCACTTGTACTCTGAGGGAGCTGGGGTGTCTAGGCCTTTGCGGAAAGTGCCTTCAATCTCTGCTGCCAGTGAGTCCATGGGGAGCACTGAGGCCAATGAAGTGTACCGCTGCACGGTGCTATTCGGCAGGCTCTTGTTTCGAAGATTTTTAATGTCCTCTCGGGCTTCGTGGAGCATGTCCTTACACTCTGAGTACTTGTCCTGCAAGTCCTTGAGCTAGAGACAGGGGGTGACAAATCAGTCAAACTGTAGATCAAGGGGATCATGCCACTGACAAAATACACAGGAGCAGCTGAATATATAATGCTAAGATAAGCTTCTACACATACATATTTGATAATAAATCACCAAGCGGTGCTGGAATCAGCATATTTATCTAAAGCCAAAAATGGGTTTCTGTAAACACCTCAAACTCTGCATCTGTGTCTATATTATGAGAGCTTTTCAGCCACACACAAAGACAAATCAAAACTGAGCTCATGTAATCATCTTAATCCAACACCAAATATGCCGTTGAAGTCACAGAGATTACAAAGCGAGTATCTTACCTCAGATTTCAGTTTTTGCTGGCTCTCACGGGAGGCATTCAGCTGGTGGTTTAACTCCTCGTTCTCATGGGTGAGCTAGACGGAAAGAGAACAGAATTCAAAAAGGTTTAACACAAGTATTTAATATAATCCATAACAAAAACTGTGCACATGTGTGAGGCTCTCACCCCCTTGCAGCGTGCCTGCAGGTCAACGATCTGAGCGAGCAGCGAGCTGATTTCCTCCTGCTGCCTGAGACAATCCTCTACTTTCCGCGCTAGCTCTTCGGACAAGTTGACCACCTGCTTATTGGCAGATGCTGAAACACACAAGTCCCATAAATTTCCTTGTGCCTGACTTATAATTCCCATTTTCATTGACTGAAGCATGACTGTGACACTTACAGAGCTCATCCACACACACCATCATCAGCTCCTGTTCTTGCTCCTCGTAGATTGATGTCTCCGTTGAGAGCTCAGTAGCCTGCAGAAAAAATTATTAATAATCAATTATCATATGTGATGCTGAACAGCAGTCTTGAAAACTCTGTGTGCAATGAGCAAAGATGCACTGCATACTGTACTATTTATTTTCAAATACGTGAATAAATAAACACATAACAAACAGGAATATCTCTTTAATTTCAAAGTTGGTGCATACCTCTAATCTGAGCTTGCGGTTCTCCTCCTCTAAACCTTTCAGTTTCTGCTGTAGGAAGTCATAGTGGATGAAGTTGGTGAGTGAACTTGACGATTCATTCCTTTTCATTCTAAAGAAAGAATGAAATGCATTTATATTAAATAAAATCCAAATTTTTATAAGAAAAGTGATGAAAATGTTGATGTTATGCGCTCTGCTGGGAAGGTGATTGGCTGCAGACTCCCATCTCTGCAGGACCTGTACACCTCCAGGACACTGGGGCGTGCACCTCGGATCACAGCTGACCCTTCTCACCCTTGACACAGTCTGCTTGACCTGCTCCCCTCAGGCAGGAGGCTCTGGTCGTTTCGCACCAGAACCTCTCGCCATATGAACAGTTTCTTCCCCTCTGCTGTTGGACTCATTAAACCACATGACTGTTCCCACCACTAACACATGACCCTACACTGTGTTCACTGCATCATTACATATTTGCACTGATCACCACCTGCACTCATGTATATATCTATCTACTTAGCACTTCAAATTTTTATTTTTATGTTTATTTAAGCGTTATCTGACAGTATGTTTGTGCTAAGTACCGCAGCAATTTCCTAATGTTGTAAACCTGCTCAACATTTGGCAATAAAACCCTTTCTGATTCTGATTCTGAAAAAGAGTGATCAAGTGCTAAATAAATAGGCTATTTTTTAATATAATTAACACTCAAAATAATTAGCATGGATCACTGCGATGAATCTAAGTTAACAGAGTCTAATAATGTGTAATAGGAATGATTAACTGCTGATGGGGAGGGTTTTACTAGCTGAAGACATTGAGAGGATCAGTGGGGATGTTCTGACGTCTGTTTACTTATGTATAAGCCCAAGGTAGTAACCAGCAGTGTAATCCCAATCCTTCATAGCGGACATTCACCATCATAAACACTGAGGAACATTTTGGTACCACTACAGCATGAAGTCCACTGAAACTACTTTGTGATAACATCTTGTGACAACATAGTTAGTTTTTTTTTAAAAGAGTATAGGATGCATTGCACCTCTGTTACAGATTTTTAGACAAATACAATTTTAGTCAGAAAAAAGCTACATATGTTAAAGTAAGACTTATACACAATATGCAAAACAAGTTGCCAGCAGCTCGTCATCATTCAACCCTGTGCGTTACACCATATGTGCACATTTGTGTACTCACGGTGACTGCGACTGAGCGTTTTCAATCTCCTCCGTGCTCGCATAGAACTGAAGGAGGTCATCTCGCATCGAGAGCTCATGGCGCAGTTGAGCAATCTAGGAAAACAAGTCACGATCACTTAAGCACAGCAGAGTATGGCACAACAAAGATGAAATATTTCCATCTCGCTATACAGGTGTGTATCAAGAGCCTTTCTTTTTACCTCCTCCTTTGCAATTTCAAGCTGTTCATCCAGCATTTCATTACGTGCAGTTATTTCTTGGTTTTGCTTCAGGAGGGACTGGCCAATCCGTGCTGCCAATTCCAGATCACGCTCTTTCTGCAAAGTCATAATCAAACATATAAATTAATAAATACATTGAGATATGTTTAGAGTTTAAAATGATTTGATTACACTGTACTAATTTAAACCATAATTATGTAAGACCAAAACGTTAGTAGATAGCACTGAGAGGGGTGACAAAAATATGCAGAAAACTGTGGCAAACAGTGATGATCTGTGAGGCAGATAAGTCTAATCCTCTTAAATTCCATTCATCTGCTGTGTGTCTCTGTCTTACCTCCTCCAGCAGGTGAGTGACTGCCTTGATATCATGATATGTCTTGGTGACCTGGCCAACTCTGTCTGAGGACAGCACTGAGGGAGGAGTGAGAGGTGGATTTAATGAATGAAGGAAAAGACATAACTGTATATGGTAATGGAAGAGAACAGCAAGAAGTCAGTCGTGCTAACATTAGGATGGTGTAAGACTAACTAGACATCTAGATTGCTTTTGTCACTTTGATCTCTTCCCGTCTTCCGTTTCTACTTTACAAATACCTTTAATAGGTTACATGATATTACGGTGTAAAGACTTTCCTGATATTTCTTGTCCATTACTGTAACATCTCTTTTTTTCTATTCAAAGCTGCTGTGCTTGTTTGCATTTGTCGATGCACTGGTGAACCTGAATTATCAAAAAGATAAAAACAAGATGTCCACTGGAGTGAAGAAAGACCCGCCTACCTGATAAAGTTACATTATTGCTATTTATCATTAACCAGATCTAGAGACACAACAGCTCCACATGGTCAGCCACAAACTGATCCTCTTAGCTTGATCCTTTTTAGCCCAGATAAGATGCCACTAAAGACTTCGTTCTCCTGGATGCTAATATAGGTCTATGTACAGGGACTAAACTGACTAGGTATTCCTATCAGGAAAGGATAACAGTGGCTGGCTATTGACCTGTAACTTTGTTTACATCCTGTACAGTGAAGTAGACATAAACAAGCCAGTTAAAGCTGAAGTGGTGAACAGGATTAATCAGTCCTTCGTTTAGGACAGATAAGACAGATTTTACATTAATAGCATTCATGTAATCATCATTTCTAAATTTCAATAGGTTAAATTATTTTTCAGACATTTACTAATAGGTATGATATCGGGGTTTCACTTTGTTTCTGTCTTTGCAATAATGCCTTTAATTATAGGTACTGTTTAGTGGCATGCCTCATTTGTGTAAAATGCATATATACAGTGTTTTAGAATCTGCTTAAATATGTGCAGACATTGGCTGGATCTGCATCTCTAAAGTTGCATAATCTTACTTCAGATGAAAGCTTAGCTAAAGAGATGGGAAGCTGCCTGGCACACAATTAGACTGTCCTGAATTTGGCCTAGAAACACAGTGATTGGATAGCTGTGTCAGTATCTAATCAGCCTAATGGAAGGAACCCAACCTTAGGCTGGACTGTACCGCATTGCTCTGTGTAAGCACACTTTATATTGGCCATAACTTATAGCATGAACCACATCTACAGGATTTATTTTTACTAAGATTTACTAAGAAAAATGTGGTCACTGTCAAAATATGTGAGATCAGGAACTTAATTATTTTGTTGAAGACTTCTCAGGAGCAGTAGTGGGGATCATGTGTCAAAACCAAAGAGTTGATTCTAGGACACACACAGAGATGACAAATGATGCTTGCCACCCTTTGGATTCAATTTTAATGCTCACTGTTGGCTATGTAACAGGTCACTTGGCAGGATAATATGTTTCTCTCAAGGACACTGCAGCAAGGCAAAAGCACTTGAATACCCGGCCTCCACTGAATGATAACACTAGTCAGGTCAGAGATACTGTCTAATGTCTCGTATTAAAATCCAATCTCTTTAAAATGTGAGCATAATCAAACAAATGCAAGTGTTACAAAAATCCTCAAATTTAATCTGCTAATGAAAAAATGTCACATGTTCAGCAACATTTCAACAATAGAGATAAGACTTCAAGGTCAATCATAATCCAAACTGGAAACGAAACAGCAAATCGTCACAGTGATGCACGTCTACTTGTGCACTAATGTGATGACCACAATAGAATCTTTAAATTAACAAAGGTTAATCAGATAATAGGTTAACTTCTTTAAATCCTATTGTCCTGAAAGTGCAGTGCTAAGGGGAAAGTCTGCAGCAGGACAACTGGTAGGAACACATTTTCATTTTCACATATCCGAAACAATGACATGTTAAACCAAGAAGAAACACTCTACTTTTTTACATTTTACTGCCTAATCTCAGTAGTTACAAGAACATTAAACTGAAGTTAGAGTACTGTGTATTTTTTACACCCTCTATCCCACTGGCCAAAATACCTAATCTTTTTCCTCTTAACCCAGCTGTCACGGCACAGAGCAGATCCAGGTAGAGTTTTGGGGTCTAGGCTGAGCTAAATCTAGTCAAGTTCAATGGACTGCAAGTCTAATACTGTTCCTTAATGACTTAGGTGCGCTTATGACGTCTGTTAGATTGAGGGATCAGACGGACATAGATGAGCTCCAGGAATAACATTTACAGTGATCATTGATCTGTATTGTTCTGAAGGTGACCATTTGATAGGATTGGCAGGATAAAATATTTGTCTCACAAGACTTCCTAGTGCAAATCTGTCTGTACATTTAGTGCAGTTTAAGCAAGTCAATAACAGTATTAAGGGACAGATCTAAGTTAAAATACGTGTCACTAAAAAGAAATATAGAACTTATATAGGACTTCTGAATAACATTTGGATTGCACCATCATGCACACCCACACAACATGCAGCACAGAGGGAAAAAAACACAGCTATAAATGCACACATTAAATAAAAGGCCTGGAACATGTCACACAGTCATTCAGATAAAAACAAGCCTACATAGGCATTCATTTACTTATAAAGTACTAGAGCAGTTTTTTTTGGTATATAAACTGATCTGGAGAAAAAGCAAAAAAACGTATGTTATGTAAAATGTCTCAATTTGGCAAATGTCAGTTTAAATTGGCGCATTTTAATGCACCGGTCACATTTAGGAAAAAGCTCCTGAAATTATAGGATTGGAACTAGAGCAGCAGTACAGTAATGCACCTGCAGCTGTTGTTCCTCAAAAGCACATCTATTAAACAGTAGTCATTGTTAGAAAGAGAAATATGTCTAAATTCTCTAAGTTGTCCTGCAAAAACTAAAGCTAATTTTGGTTTTGCTTCGCCCCCCCCCCCTTTTTGTTTGTTGCAGGAGGAAGGAAAAAACATATATAGTGTAACGCTGGATCCATACAGTAAAAAGAGAAAACACAAAATGGAATGACTGAGAATTATAATTTGATCGCTTGCATACACAGCTTGGTTGTGCTGCTGCAGCATGCATGGGCATACACACTCACAGGTACTCTGACCTTCACAACACTAAAAGGAAAAACTGAAACTGAATACACTTACAAAACTTTACACCTCTTGATGCTCTAATTTTGAACTAAAGCTTCAAGCAGGGTCTGCAAAGACTCGATTTTTGCTAAAGGTTAATCTTCATTTGCACAGTGTGTCTTCAGTGACACAACTGCACCCTGCAGTATACGCAGCTCACCATTAAGTATTAAAGTGCTTAGATAACGAGGACCATGACAACGCAATGTACTACAGAGTACACCGGGCAAGAATATCTGAGTTGCACTTGAACTTGACCTTTAATACTTTACTTCTACATTCTCTTATTTCTATTTTCTAAGTATGAGCTCTGCAGAAGAGGATCAGCACATCTCACCTTGTGTCACCTCCCTGCAAAGGTTGTCATTGTTGTTGTTGTTATTGTTATTGCTGTTGTGGCATTTGTTCTCCTCTGCTATTTCATCTAAAAGACTGGAATGGCTCCTCTCCTCCTCGTCTCCCTCAGATGCTGAGGAGCTCCACACCTCCATGGTGATGGATGAAAAACTGCTCTCTGTATCTCCGTCCATGGGTTAAATCCCTCGTTCTTCTACTCCTGCTGTCTGTCAGCTGTGCTGTGACAAACCATTTGTGTCTCTGGCATGAATCTGCTGGCGTGTGTGTAGGGTAAAGCAATATCAACTACACTGTGTGAGTGAGTGAGTGAGTGTATACGCCTCTATTTGCGTGTGCATGAGAATCTGAGCTGCTTCTTGTTAATATATAATCCGTCAGACTGTAAGGGCCATCTGTCGTCATGCCTGCCTCCCTTCACCTGGCCACGTTGGACTACCGGGTAAGAAAAGAGGGGGGAAAAGGAGGAGGGGTAAAGGAGGCATCAAAGTCTAAATGGCAAGCCATAAAATCTGATGTTTATTAATTATTGTTAGCAATAATTAAAAGATATGAGTGACACAAGACTACAAATGACAATAATTCTGGTTGGGGCATTTGGTGCAATTCAAAAGGATGCTGCACAAAGCCCACCCACCCCTGTAAACCGAGCAAGATAGTAGCTTCCATCCATGCCAGTGGCTGGTCTAATTCTCCTCACATACGCAGTACCAGATAGAGGAGGGGGCTCTGCGTAATAGTGGTGCAGGCAGAGTCACACCCACCCCCACAGGGGACTGATGGAGGCAAAAGGCCCTGTTCTTAATTGCTGAGTAAGTTTTCACAGATAATAATAAAATGAAGAAGTATTTTGTTTTTCTCTGTAAAAAATATTACAGACACTGAAATAATATAAAAGTCACAAATAGTCTACATCTTCATCATATATGTCCAGTCTGTGCATCTTGTGACTTCAGTTGTTGCCCAAGCCAAAGCAGTTTCTTACAATCAAATATTTACCTTCTAATTAATTTTTCACCCACAAACTGACTGTGTGCCTGTCAAATTCTGTAAAAGACAGAAGAGATCACGTTGCACATTCATGCATTTGTTATTCCCTGAAGAATGCACGTGAATTACGTGCACGTCCACGGAAGGAATGGTTCAACCATGAGACAAGAGACAACACAACTAAAAGAAAAGCAAATGGTTATAAGGAAGTAATGATGTGTGGACTTCGCCCTTAGTAATAAAAAAAAGTGACAAAAACTTCACTTTCAAGTCACCAGCCAGAAACAAAAGAAAACCTGTAGTCTAGCACGTTCATTAAAAAAAAGAAAATCCTGCACATATATTTCTTAAGATCACCTTATAAACTTTGAGTAAGAGCTCAATAACATGAAATAGGACCCTTGTGTAACTCATTGTGTGGTTCTTTGTTCACTAAGAGCCAAATGTTACTGATAAAAGTCTGCAAAGTGAGAGCTGATATCATTGATATGAGCTGATATGAGATCATATGCATGCGTGGGAACACCCTGGAAGGTTACTTGCCACCTTGTTTTGCTTCAGGGCATCTACAGAAAAAACATTGTGCACAGTCATCACGTAGTGCTCGTGTCTGTGGTTGTGATAACTTTATGATCATTTATAACATGAATCATTATCCAAATATGCTGGAGAACAATGTTTCTAATTGAACCAAAGAATCTCCTTTTACTGCATGCCTGAGCTGCTTCATGGTTACTTCCCATGCACTCCTTGTTAGGGATCACTGGTTTTGTGAATCATTACTGTTATTTTTGATAGTGCTAAAAAAAATTGTCTTAATACTTCCTTGACAAACTGGCTATACTACTCATTGTTTGTTCAGTTCATATACGTTTTCACATTAGGTTAAACAATTATATTTATTTTCTGACCAGTTACTTACAAGAAAGTCTCATTTTTAGCTTCTATATGTTCCACAATGTTACAAGTTGCTACATTGGTTCTTTAGAGCAAAAACTTAGCGGGTTTTTGGCTCTTTAGCTGTATGCTCAAAGAATGCAGAAAGAGCAAAGTACAACAGTAAAGCTATACGCTAAAAAACCAAAATAATGAACTGAGTGGGGTCAAAATCAATGATTATATGTGGATTTACCTTACAACATAGAGCACCTTGAGACAACGCCTTTATACATTGTGTATGTGGTTTGATCTACTATCGTTATATAAATATTATTAAACAAATTCAACATTCGGTGACACGCCAGATATTCTACACAATGCTAAAATATGCACCAATTTCAACATTAACTGTGATCAATATTTAGAAAGAGATTTAATCTCAATCCTAGAAATGATTGAAAAATGCTTTTCATTAACTAGCATTATATCAAATGAGTGCAAGACTGCAAACAAAACACAAAGAAAGAGCACAGAGGAGCAGGGTGTGAGCTTAAGTAAAGAACTCAAACAACACCATATGCCACATGCCAAAAAGAGTCACTGCAGCATGGCACAGTCTGCATGGGTCAGGTTAGTCTGTCCTGTTCCGTACAGCAATATGTGGGTTGGCATCACGAGATGCCTAAATAGAGCCTATTTAGCATTATGAGGACACAAACATGCAATCCTATTACTATAAATCAGGGTTATAGGGATGGGAAACCACTCTAACTCCTTTTTAAATTTTTAAAATATAGAAACAAACAAAAACACAATATACGGTAATGGGGCAGTTATTTACATATTTAGCTTCATATATAAAATTATTCCTTATGAAAAGAAATCCAACTATAATTACAGAAAAATTCAATAGTATAATAGGGTATAAATGTATTAACAAAACTATTAATTCAATATTTAATACCTCAAAGAACTACAGAATCAAATTCTAGGATTCTCTCATTAGCTCTATTTTATAATTTGAGAGCAAGTCAACGTGTTTCAGGACAATAACAACAGATGCATTGAGTCATGCAGCCACCCTACAGTAGTTCATGATGACTTTATTTAAAACAGACAATGTATTAACATCAGTGTTGCAAGTGACTGCCAACATTGTCTTTGTAGTGATGTCAGAGTCGCCATTAGGATAGGCCGTTTGCGGAGCTGCAGCATAAACTGCTTAGAAGTCATGACTGCATAATCGGATTAGTGACATTTGACATCTGCGACTCACCTAAATGTGGTGCGTGAGTGCGCATGGGGGAGGTTAGGTGCACAGTACGACCAGAGAGATGGAAGATCCTTTTGATTTCCTACCAGCAGGTTTAAACATTATGAAAAGGAGCTTCCTGAAATATTTATTCTCCATTTAAAATAATAAAATAAAACATTTAGCATAAATGGAAAGGAAAGGTTTAAGATTTAATATTCCAAGTTTAATACTCGAAAACTGTAAGTTTGTATGACTGGTTAGTTTATCCAGTCTTTGATCAGAATAAAAACTAAATGCACTAAATATAGCAATGACACATTCACCAAACATTATAGGCCATAAACACAATAATGCAGCTTACTATTAAAATTTTCATATTCACTCTTGTGAATACTGTTCCCTTTATATCTTTACAAAGCAAACCGAAACGTGCTTTGTGTGCTGCACAACAGCTAACTAGTCTGTTTTCGATTACTATGTTTACAGGCGCGCCTTCACATATATTGTCTTACCTTCAGTACCTTATCCAGTACAAAGCGGCCGTGAGAACATTCTTGGCCAACCATAAAAAGTAACATATTAATGTTCAACGAACCAAACCTAAACTTTACTCGGGCAAAGACTGAGCTCTAAAACAAAAGGCGAAAAATTAACACAATGATTGTTTGCTTTTTCTCTTGGGATAATCTCTACATTTTAATTCTTACTTCCTTGTGAAAATACGCATGTTATTATTCTTTTGATGTTTTAAAGGTAAAAACAACTATGAGGAGCTGAAGTCAGTACACGTTTACTAAATTAAATAAACTTTTTTTTCCCCCTATGGCAACAATGAAACATTTTGGGAGATTGAACCCACTAAAAAGGCAGCAATTCAGGAAACTTTAACACAACTTAAAATATTTTATCATCATGTTTATCTATCATCTGTAAACACAAGTAGAATTTAATTTTGCATGAATCCATAGATACTACAGTTTCTGTTACAATGACAAAACTAATTCTGCATAAATATAATTTGATTGACTGCAAACATGCACATTGAATAAAGACTCAGAGCTGGAAAACTGAAAAATGATTGCAACTTCTACAAAAGGTACTTTGAGTCAGGGGGTCATTTTCCATACTTGGATTAACGTTTCAGCTGGATTACAGCTTTGTTCACGATCTGATGTCATCCTGGAATTACCTCTTCTCTGAAACTGTTTGGTTGGTTGTCAAAGTGACATGTCGGTAAGGTCAAACCTACTCGGAAACAAGTTAATTTAACATAAACAAGATTAGATGGCAGCCTTAAACAGATTTCAGTCAAAATACCAGCCCGACCATGGATCAAGCATTCTTGTAGAAGGAATACACTGACAGAACGAAAAACATTTGAAATTGTAATTATACTGTACGACTTTAAATATGCTTGTCTTTTTTAAGTGAGAGAGTCACGCTAATTCAACTAGAAGGGACAAACTAGCATAGGGTAACTATTAGCACATCACAAAAGGAGCTTAGCTTGATGACTTTCCTGCTACTGCCCCCAAACATTTACGTATTAAATGAACGAATTACACAACAGGGCCTGTGATAATCATAGACTGTATATAAAACACAGACTTTAACGTCTGAAGATAGACATCAGTGCACATATATTTAAAGTTGCATTTTTTTTCTAACGTCCTGCAGGGGGAGACTGTGGTAGCAAAAAGAGATCTGATTGAACAGAAGTACAAGATAACAACCTGATTGCACAATTCCTTTATCAATTCACGGCATATATAAACTGGGGAAAAAATAAAGTAGTAAAGAAAAATAAGGAAATTTGTGTTTGGTTAATTATTTCTTTTTTGCAAAAATGCTTCTTAGCAATAAATATATATAATAAAGCTTCCAAACTACTGTTAGAAAGTCTGTTTATTCCCCCTTAAATGTGCCACATCTATAAGGAAAATGCATTTGTGGGTTGAGCAGCAGAGATGAGAATGTGGGCTCTGCCCATGGAAATTGGCAAATCTTCTCTACCCCAGGTACTCTCTAACCAGACAGACCACACACAGCTAGTCTCTAATGTCCGCTCCAGAGAGGCCTCCAGAGATGCCAGGAGGCCTGCCATGACTACCCTTCATCATCAGGCCCATTTGCATTGGTGTCAGCAACATGTGCGCTAGAACCTGAAAATGTGAAGGAAAGTTATGTTCAGCAATGACTCCAGATTCTGCCAGTGGCAGTTGGATCCTAGGGTCAAAGAGATGCTATGCTGATTACGGCACCAACAGGATATCTGCTTTTGTTGGAGGCGGTGTGATGGCATGGGGCGACATCACCCTCACTAGAAAAACAAGGCTTGTTTTGGAGTTATCTCAATGCAGAGAGATATCAAGATGAGATTCTGCAACCAGTGGCAATCCCATATCTCCACAGTCTGGAACAGAACTCTGTGCTCCAAGATGAGAATACTCGCCCCCATAGAGCAGGCTTTATTAGAGACTACCTCCAAAATCTGGGAGTGGGGAGGCTGGAATGGCCTGCCTGCAGTCAGGATCTCAACCCTACTGAACACCTGTGGAATCAGCTTGAGCTTGCAAAGACAGCAGACAGCATTCGTTCCAGAATGAATAACACAATCAAACTGGCTGACTTAAAACAAATGCTGGTAGAAGACTGTGACGCTGTCCCACAGCTGTGCGTGACCAGCACGAGGAGGACGTGTCAAGCTTTTGTGCCTGTGTATGGTTCCTCCACCGTTTGTTAAATGAATAAATTGTCACAATTTCTTGTTTCTTCCTACTTCAATCTTCAAATCCAACAAACAACACCGAACAAAAGCTGTTTGGCATCAGCAGAGAAGATTTGACAAGTTTTTCATGAGAGCAACCCACATGCTCAACTCTGCTGCCCAACCCAAAAATGAATTTCCCTTACAAATGTCTTACCATTTAAGGAGAAAATCAACAGGCTTTCTAATAGTATAGGATTTGTAGCAAAGAAGCATTGTAAAAAAACACAGGAAAAAAATCATCCAAACACACATTTCCTTACTTTTAGTAAGGTATTATTTTGAAAATCAATTATCTCATTCACAAGATTTTCAGAAAATCTGACCCCTGCCCTTGACCTTAGAGGGATTCTAAGATTTTTAGTTCATGCACCTACGATATCAATCACAAAATCCTGAGTTTCTTCGTTCTTGAGTTATCACATTTACAAAACTTTGGTGTCCACGCGACGCACCACCCAGGGGAGTGGCGACAATACCCATTCAGCCTCTAAGGGCAAAGAGGTAAAAACCCACAGCAAACAAACAACCAATCTTATATTGAATGGAAAAATTAGATAATATATGTTTTGGAATGACTAAAAGCAGGGGTGTCGAATTCCAGGGCTCGAGGGCTGGTGTCCTGCAGGTTGGGATATCACCCTGTTTCAACA